TATTTATAACATTATTCACTTAATATAATTCACTTAATATAAATGTAGGTTGCTATGTAAAAAGCTCCTAGATTCATTGAATTTCAAGTTCCACCTGCAGTTGCCTTGGCAGGGCCAGACCAAATGATTCCTTATAAGGCCTTCAAGCTGGATGTTCCCTACCCTTGCCCTAATAGTAAGATGACACTCAGGGAACCTGGGGTTGGGGTGAATGCATCTTGCATGTGGGAGAGACAATGGGGAGCAGCGTGAACAAGCCCTATGGTGACACCCCCTCCTGGTGTTCCCAGCTTGTGTAATCCCCTTTTTATGATTGAGGGCAGGACCTGTGCTTGCTTCAAACCATTAGGACATGATAGAGGGATGGAATGTCACTCCCAAGGCTATGCTCTACATCATACAGCATCAGTGCTAAGATATCATTTTGTGATTCTGCTATGGTAAGTACATAAGACTCCAAGCAGAGTGGCTCTCACTCTCCTGTGGCCTTGAAGAAGCAAGCTACTCTGAGTTCCACAGAGAGGAAGTGAATTCTGCCAACAGCCTTAAAGAGCTGGGAAGCGGATGCTTCCCCAGTCACGCCTCCAGAGGGCAGTGCAGCCAAGCTGATGGCAGTCAGGGAGCCCTTGAGCAGAGGTACCCAGTTAAGCCTGTCTCCATTCCAGACTCAGGAAAATTGTGAGATAATAAATGTGTATTTCTTTAAGCCACAAATTTTGTGGTAATTTGCAATGAAAAATTAATACAAAGATTCTCAAAAAGAAGTGGATTATGTGATGATAGCAAATGCTTAGATTTGTGCCATCTCAGGCACAGTTGTTTTTTTTTTGTTTTTTTTTGTTTTTTTTGTTTTTTGTTTTGTTTTTTGTGTATGTTTCCACTGAAGTTTTAATGTTATTAGTAATAGCAGGAGCATTCAAACACTTGGATAGTGATGTGCTGCTTAGAAATGATCAAAAGTATGATGAATTGCCTTCCCACTAGTTTATACAGAGGCAACAATACAATGCTTATATTTACTGATACAAGACAAAAATGATAAAAATTCTAGGAGTTGACAGAGCCACAAAGAAGCCTACAGTGGCCATCTTAGTGCCCCAAATCCTATAAGATGCTAAATGAGAATAAAATGAAATCTTTCAAGTTCTATGCATGTGTGGGAGTCACAGAGAGAGCCACATGCTTTTTCTTCTGACTTAGAAGGGTTATTTTCAGTTAGGTCACCCCTGCCAGGAGAGAAGCTCCAGGGAAAATAAGGCATTCCTGACAATATCATCTCCCTTTATATAAAATTTTCCAGTTATCAAAGCACCACCATCCTCACTTGACAAGTTCAGCTGACAGGAGGTCAGGACAGGCCACTCAGCGAGAAACTAACAGAAGTCAGGAGAGAAGCTTGTGATCTGGAGGTTTGCTGTTTAACTTCTCATACAATCAGCCCAAGGAGCAGCCAGGCCACTCGGGAGACAGGTGAGCAGCATGCATTTGGGCATTTACTCACTTGCTTCTTGGTGCACACTTTCATTGACACTTCCTGTTTTAATGTTATGCCTACTTCACATGAGAAACCTGTGTGGATCACATGCATAATAAAAGACTCTGTAGAAGGCTCTGAGTCCTCTACAACTACAAATAAATTCATATGGCATGGAATTTAAAGAAAATTCTGAATAGGAACAGCTGAAAACCCAAATCAATACAGAAGAGAGAGTTGGTTGCAATCATAGATTTCCATTCAGAACCAGGAAAGCTTACAAGTATTGAAAAACTGGCATTTCCCAAGACATAAGGCATTGTACCCTTCTTCCATTGACTGCTTTTATGTCATGATCTCTTGTCTCATTTTTCCTTTTAAATAAAGACAACTAGACCAAATTAGAATTGTTGGTTCTACTTAACTTAAATAACTGTGCCAAAATGGCTTTAAATCTGCACAATTCTATGTATTCACTCCTTTCTGTTAATTTCTTCACAGTTTCTTATTTCAATGATTGTTCTAGCCTCTGTGATATATTCTGCATAGTTTATAATATGCAATTCTCAGTGACTTGGATGAGCCAAACAGTGGGCTCATCCAATCTACATTGTATACTTTGGCCCCTTCAACCTTTTACTTTCCCTTTTCTAAGAGGCTGGTAGAGGCAATAGGATTCTCTGGAACCACCAATGTGTCCAATAGTTTCCAACAGTGTTAAATGCACTCATGGGATTTAGGAAAGAGAGGACCAGTCTGAAGAAGTTTGCTTAGAAAAGCATTTGATTAACTCTACTCTTTCTGGGGAATTTCAATCTAGTTGACCATTGTTTGTCATTTCTTGTCTGGTTTTATTTTATTTTTTCTCACAGGTAAAACTGTGCCTTAAGTCTAATTTGCAGAAACACAGGACTCCATCTATACTCAAAATGTATTTTCCAGTCATCTCCCAGATGGTATTTAAGCATCTACAACAAATATTTTCATGTCATAGGGACAGGATGATCACACATTTGCCATTAGGGTTAGAAAGTGATAAAGGGAATAAGAGCATCATGGGGCTCAGGAACTCAGCACTTAGCAAACCTTGCGCTAACTCTCAGTGGGGCTTTTAAATTCTGTCATAGAGGATAATAAGCCAGCTCACCCAGAAGATGGGGAAAATGAGCTAAATGGTCCTCTTAAATCCTATGTCCACTGAACATGATGGATTATCACTGAGATGGGAGCTTCCTCCTTCACTGCTGGCCAGGACCTACATGGCCTGGACAAGTGAAAAACCATGGTGAAATAACTGATGCCCTGTCTCCACCTAATAAGGAACATGCTCTCTAAAAGAGAGCACTTATCCTGGGTCTTCAGCTAGAATGTTACACTAAGACTCTAGAATGTTCTAGAGTATCCTTCTAGAATGGCCTCATCAAATGATAACTGTTCTCAAGATGATTGTCTTTTGGGCATTTTTTCCTTTACCATGATAACCAATAGCAGAGGACTTTTCTGGGTATACTGAACACTCCATTTTCTAGTTTTTATAAACACTTTGGATATGAGAAAACCAATGAAACCAAAAAAGGAAATTCTTTTCAATACTCACTTCTTTTCAGATGTGGTCTACCCTATATTTTGGTATTTGGTATAACTGTATATGTGTACACTATGCATGTGTGTATATATATGCATATGTATAACATTATTTTACAATATGTTAATACTAAATTTTATGTAAGAGTTCAAACATTCAGAGGGCAAATGCAAAACAACAAAAGATCATTTAATTTAAAATTTAATCAAAAGTTATTGCAATATTTATTTACCAAAAATGGTGGGTAATATTCTTCAATATAAAGATTAGCAAACATCACTTAAATGCAATAATTAAGCATTAGCTTTCTCTTGGGGGCATATGCTCAATAGTAAGATATTGCCTATTATTAATCAGTAGAACTGGTTAATTAATTTCTATTAACTTTCAATGAATACCCATTTAAAATGGAAGGTCCTTTTGTTCCTAAAGACTTATCTTTTCAAATATCCATCTTTATATATTTTACATTTTTCTGGCTTAAAAAGTTTCAAATCCTTATCAGAAAATGAAATTTATAAGATACAGGATAAGAAGACTCTGCATTGATCTTTAGGTATATCATATTCACATATACAATACCAAAACAGAATGACCAAGATGATGCATAAACAATGAATTACAATTCTCATTTAGTCAGCTCAGATGACATCTTATAAATAAGCTTTTCCCATATCTATTAACTATGATCCTACTTTGCCTCCTTTAAAAGAATGCATCTGTCGAAGCCAGTTTTGCTCAGTGGATAGATCATCGGCCTGCGGACTGAAAGGTCCCAGGTTCGATTCCGGTCAAGGGCACGTACCTCGGTTGTGGGCACATCCCCAGTAGAGGGTGTGCAAGAGGCAGCTGATCAATGATTCTCTCTCATCAATGTTTCTAACTCTATCCCTCTCTCTTCCTCTCTGTAAAAATCAATAAAAATAAAAATTAAAAATAAAAAAGACTATGAGATACACCCATAGCCAAAAGTAAAAAGAATGCATCTACTTTTAATTTGCCTATCATTTAAATACAATATAGTCAATATTCATGTTAACATAAAATAAGGTATTCATGTCATTCAGATGTCTACTAATATAATAAGCAAGAGATATAGAATAGAATATTGGGATATCATAATAAAAAAAATCAGAAATTTAAGTACTATAAGGAGCTTTTGGGCAATTACTTGATTCTGAGGTACAGAAGAAAATGGCTGCACTTTCTCTGTAGAAACTTAATGTACCTGAAATTTATTGGATCTGAGTTCCATTTTAACACAATTATTTTCATGAAAATTTCTTGCCAAAAATCTACTAGCCATTTCTTTAGGGTAATTATATCTTATTTCATGACTCAAATGATTCACTTTTATTTAAAATAGCTGTTTCTTATACTATAGCAATAAATTTGAACATATATGTATGCATACATATATAAATATATATGATTACATAATAAAACCTGTAAGTGTATAAATCTATTCATGTGTATACATACATATATAAACATTATTTTAAAATACATTAATACTAAATTTTATATAAGAGTTCAAACATTCGGAGGGCAAATGCAAAACAACAAAAGATGTCTAATATAAAGTTTAATCAAAAGTTATTGCCAATATTTACCAGAAGAGGTGAATAATATTCTTCAATGTAAAGATTAGCAAACATCACTTGAAGTGCAATAAACATTTCTGATTTTGTGATTTTGTTTATGTGTCTGATTTAAAAAAAAAAAATCTTCCATATAAAAGCTGAGGATCCTTTGCATGTGCTGCCACTTACAGTAAGGGGTGCACATTATGATCATTAGAAAATAATTGTGGCTAAGCTGTGGATATTTTAAAACAAATATAAATATATAGGCATTTTATAGTTTCCCTTTAAAGATGAGATGCTTCACCAAATGACAACCTACTTATAAAATCAACTTAAAGCCAAATCCTCACCATACCTTCATGGGAGCCAGCTGGATGGGAGTGATGCATGAAGGGTCCACCATGGGCTTCGGCCTGTTGGCTGTGTCTGCCAACAGACTGTGCCATTGCTGCGGCAGGCCAGTGAATTTCTGTTCCTGTGGATCAAACCCAGTGTGAACTCTGTGTTCAAAGTTGGATGGACCAGATATTTCAATCTTTTTCTTTTTCTTTCCAAACATGATGCAAAGACCTGGGAAAGGCAAACAGAAAAGAGGTAGCTGTTTATATGTTGCCAGCAGAAGAACAGAGAGAAATTATTAATTCATCCAGAGTTAATCTTTTCAGTAGTTCCTCTATATACCAGCTACAATTATGAAAGTTGGGTTTTCAGGGTGTGTAGTTAACTTCATTCAGTGTTATGGTTGTTTTTGTTCTTTCCTTGAACTTGCTGTGTGCATTATAGTTCCCTGCCCCTTGATTTTGAACTTGGCCATGTTATCTGCTTTGACTATTGGACTGTGGATGGAAGAGACAGTGTGGCAGTTCAGGATGCCCTGTGTGTTTCCACTTTCCATCTTGTGCTCCTGCCACGTGGCATGAAGATCTCTCAGGTGGATGCTGCGACCTTATCCTTTTTTCTGGAAGGAGAGCTACAGGAAGCAGATACAAATCCCACTTCCAGTTGGAGCCAAATATAACTGAACCACAGCTGACTCATGAGGAAGAAATAAATGTTTTTAATTAAGCCTCTGAGACTTTGGACTTGTTTGTTATGTGGTGTTATCAAAGAAAAAGCTGACTACTACACAAGAAAAAGCACCTCAAAGTTTGGTGCACACTTACAACCTAAAATACTTGTGTGGAAAAATATAATGTGTGCACAGACTCTTCCCTCTATATCCCCAGGTTTCACATCCATGTGGATCAAGAGTATTTAAAAATGTTAAACTGTGGCTGACAAGTACTATGTAGGTAGGTCTACTATGGTTTTATCTGTACTATAGTTGTGACTGTACTAAACACATTCAACACAGAGTTTTTCTTTTTATTAATCAATAAAAGACACAGTATAACAACAATTTATACTACATTTACATTGTATTAGGCATTGTAAGTAACCCAGAGATAATTTAAACCATAGAAAAAGATGTGTATAGGTTATATGCAACTACTATGCCCTTTTCTATAGGGAACGTGAACATCCATGAATTGTGTTATCTGTGGGGATCCTAGAACCAATCTCCTCTGAATACTGAGGGGTAACTAACTCTACATGAACAATGGAGTTAAGAAGTATATTCATCATATAAAATTATTATTAGAATTAAACATTTATAAAAGATGTTGAAAAGCACCTAGCACATAGTAGGTACTACAAGTATTACATATACTTCTGGACAAATATATAAGGAACTCCACTAGTATTACCTGCAGGTAACTGGGAGAGAGGGGATGGGCAGGGAGGGAGACCCACTTTTTATTGTGTATTATATATTTATAACTTTTTAAATGCATTTTGCATGTTTGAAACCATGTAGTTTAACTAATTAAAACATATCCTGTAACCAAAATCCCTCTCTAGAAAATGTGTAAAATAGACACTGTGAGCTTTATGGCATAGAAACATGTAAGAATAACCTGGGCTTGAACTCCAGGTAAATCACCTATTCTCTGTAATATTGAGTAATTGGTTTTCTTTCTCTAAATGATTGTGACCAGGACAATCATGATCACTTGGGAAATTCTGACCAAACTGTGATTCGCATTGTATGAGATGATATTTAGCTTCATTGTTCAAGAATACATTTGTTCAGAGAATAGCACCTGGAATCAGAACTCCATATATGTTAAATCTTCCCTTGCTCTCTCCCTTTCTTCTTCCTCTCTCTCCTCTTCATCCTTCCTTAAAATTTCTTTCTTCTTTTTACACGTACCCCTGCTTGGTGAGCAGGATCTTCCTGTTGTTTTCCAGTTTTCTGAAGCTCCTATTACATCCTCAAAATACTAGAGGGTGGGTGCCTTATGAACAACAGGACTTTATTCCTCACAGTTCTGAAGGCTAGAAGTCCAAGATCAAGGTGTTGGCAGATTCAGTGTGTGGTGAAGACCTGCTATACCCTCACCATGTAGAAGGGACAAAGGTGCTCTCTGGCCACTTTAATAAGGCTCCACCCTCATGAGCTAATCACCTCCCAACGGCCCCACCTCCAAATCCCATCATCTTCTGGGTTAGGATTTCAACCTATGGATTTTGGAGGGTTACGTTCAGATCACAGCACTGGATATATATTCTCTCAATAGCAGTCAGATCCTTCACAACCTTACTTCCCGGACTCTATCAAAGTCCTTTCTCCCATCCATCCTGGCTGTTACTTCAGACTAATTTAGAAAACTAAATAAGGTGCTAATGAAAAACTAAAAAATGTAGTAAGAGCTCAAAACACCTTGATATTGCTTCTCCTGGCAAGCATAACTATAGGTTTTTTATTCTTTATGTTCCTTGCTACCAGTTGTGTTAATAAAAGTTGTTCAACTGATTTTAAGCCAAGGGTAAAAAAATAAAGGAACCCAGCTGTGGCAAATTGTCTCCCAGGGTACATGCCCCTGGGTGGGCCTCTCCCACATGGACTCTGGATCTGAATATGTAACTTGCTGTAGCCCAAGGGACAGCTGAAACCTCAGTGACACAAAGATGAAATGTGCTTGTACATTGGGGCTTTCCCTCCTGCTGTTCTTGGCACCATTGCCAGTATGAGAGTCGGGTCATCCTGCGGGAGATGACAGACCATGTGGTCCAGGCACCCGTCAAGCCAGCAACCACCAGTCTGGAGGGCAGAGACGCTTTGCTGAGCAGCAGCTGGCCACGAGGAGCCCATGCAAACCAGCAGAAGAACCATCCAGATGAGCTGGACTCGAAGTACCGACCTACAGAAGCAGGGCACAAATAAATGGCTTTGCTTTAGGCCATTATACTTTGGAGTAAATTGTTGCATGGAAAAAAGCTAACTATCAGAGGAAGCAAAAACCTGATTATTTGCCCATAGCCTGCATCTTCAGATATCCATTTTTCTCTTTGTTTTTGCTGTTTCACACTCTCAAGTAACAATGTCCAAACCGGTAGCTATTCTGGCTGTCATACTGTTATGTTACCTCAGAAGAGTCTTGGCTATTACACTCCTGTCACAGTGGTTGAGGGCCTGCAATGTTTTCAGTGGCCAGAAAATTATACCAAATAAGTAAATTGCTCTGTATACCATCTCTCCATGTTATTTAGTGAAAATAAAAATACATTGAAAAATATAATGTGGTCATGTGTTGGCTGAATCCACTTGACATTTTAGTAAATGTTATGACCATTTTTTAAAAAACAACTATTTAGAAAAATCATTTTAGAACAGTTCTTTTGCATGCATTCATCTGAGCTGAGCAAGCACTGAAAATGCTAAGCCAAGTGTTTTTAGAAGCAGAACAGAAACACCTTACTATTCCCTTCCTGATTATAAATTTCCCGGTGTTGCTATGCCATTCAAGTGGGAGTATAAAAAAGGAAAATATTAATGTTCTTGTTTTTCAATAAGACTCTTGTAGTGAGGAAACCCACAGCTGAATTAATTTACCTATGTTGCATCCTGTAATACTATACACATGTAACCTAAATGTTAACAAAACTGTTCAGTAGTCTAATAAGTCTGAGTTAAAGAGTTATAGAGGAAGTAAGTGAAAAGGAAAATTTATAAAACAGTTCCAACTCCTACAGCAGCAATCCTGTGAAGCTCACAACTAAATGCAGAGAGAGACTCTCCATGCTGTAGGGCAGCCCCCAGTGATGGCCATAACTCTGACAGCAGTGAGGACTCCTCCCCCCCACCTCAGGGGGAAAGTGGACAAAGTTCTGGTGCTTTTCAGCACCATGGGGCAGGGGCCACATGGTAGGGAAGTGAAGACCTGTTAGGGAGATGCTTTCTTCTCTCCGATGTGTCTCTGCTGTCCGTGCGAAATCTTCAGTGTGTATGGCCTCACGTAAAATTCACCATAACCTTTGATGTGGGGTCCCCAATACCACCCAGGTGTGATTTGCTCAGAGACCTCACAGGACCCAGCTGTGAGGTCACGGCTGTGATTTGTTACAGTGAAAGGACACAAAGCAAAACCGGTAATGGGAAAGGGTGTGTGGGACGAAGTCTGGAGGGAAGCAGGCACAGCTCCCAGAGTCCTCTCTCTACTCCCATGGGACAGGACTAATGGCTCCAGCCCTGAACTGTGACAGCACATGTGAAATGAAGTCTTCCAAGGAAGCTCATGGAGGCTCGATGCTGAGAATCTTACCGTCTGCCTTGTCCGTGCCAAAACTTCAGACTCCGGAAGGAAAGCAGGGTTCAGCATCAACTATACTGTCTGCATAAACTGTTCAGCCACAGTGAGCCATTCTTATCGGGGAATGATGGGAGCCCTCCTAAACCCCAAGTTCCCTGATGCCAGCCAAGGGCCATGAGGCAAATAGATGTTTCTTAGCTAGCAGCCCCAGGCCAGCCGTGTCAATTTTTTTTCTGCACAAGAGGTGTTACTATCATATCTCTATTTTACAGAAGCTCAGAGCCCGGGTTAGACACTGGCAAAGCCAGGCACTCAGAACCTCCAAGTACCTGCTCTTCATCACTGGGTGACATATGGCTGCCCTGTATCTGCCTTCTTTACTGGACACACCCTTGCTCTTCCTAGAAAACCCTGCTCCTCTAGAAATAAAGTTAGACAGGCTCGCTCTAACAAAGGTAACTGATATACTGGAGGTTTTTTGGCTCATCTTATGTCCCTCTGTACTTGTTGACCTTTTTCTGAGACTGAGTAGACCTCTGTGACTGAGCAGGGAAGGCTGTAGGAGAACCCCTCACACCTTGCTATTTAGCATCCATGCCAATCCAGGGCATGGAATACCTCATCCCGCTCCTGAGTTCTAGCAGACCCTCCAGAACCCTTTGACAGTGTGGGTGGAAAAGGGACCACATACCACCCTGACAAGCTCAGGGCAGGCCTGCATGGCAGCCTTACAAACACAGAGACCTAAAGTAACCACATAGTCTGAAATGAAAACTTTCTAACTAAAAACCAGTCATGGCAGGTAGTCACGTCCTAGGCCAGTACCTTCCTTGACAAAGGTTTGCCTGAGCCTGTCTATTGTCATATTGCATCTAAAATAACATACCTTTGGAAAGTCAGCCCCCTAGGGCAGAGTCTCCCACCA